GTTAGGACGCGCTTTCTAGTCAGACCCCTCCTAATACCTGCAGTCTACACTTAGAGCCAAGTTCAAATACTACCTTTCCCTCCATTTTCCCTCTGATCCGTTCCTGACAAATGCAAGCACCTTTCCAACACACACACACACTTTGTTCTGTATCTACACATATGGATTATATCTCTCACAGCGTAAGCACCCCGAGAATAGGGGCATGTCTCTAGTGTTCTACCAGTGCCTGTAATTCAGATAACTAACTGTTACCTCACTTACTTCCTTGGAAACATTTACTTTAAAAACTAAGAATTTGGGGGCTAGAATATGGTGTAGTGGTTAAAGTGCTGGACCCCCACATGACCGACTGCAGTTTGAGTCCTGGACCCAGCAGCTTGAAAATCATGCTGGATGCGTGTGCTCATGTGCCAAAATTCCAAGAGAATGGAGGATCTGGCTTCCCCTCCCTCTGTCTCTCTGTCTCTGGTGAGTGCACATACCCATGGCAAAAACCTAAAACCAAAACCAAAAAAATCCAAAAACAACCCCTCAAAGCTAAGAATTTTACTGGAAGAAAATAAGAGACTCAAATCTTAGAATTACTTACAAGTAACACAATGTGCTGGCCTGAATGCTAAATATAATAAAAGGTTTTCACAATTATAGTTGAGGCCAGCCCTGCAGCTCCGTGGTTATGCCGTGCCCGGGGAGCTGGACCCCACGTGGCTGACTGCAGTTTGAATCCTGGCTCTGGCAGCTTGAATAACACACTGGGCATCTGTGTGCCTGTGCCCAGAACCCTGATGAGATAAAGAATGAAAGAAAGCTTTCCAACTTAGGCTGGGCAGAAAGGTTCCCACAAAGAAAGGTGGCAAGAAGAAGGGGTGTTCTGCCATCAACAAAATGCTGCCCTGGGAATACACCATCAACATTCGCAAGTGCATCCATGGCGTGGGCTTCAAGAAACGTGCCTCTCGGGCATTCAATGCAATCTGGAAATTTGCCATGAGGAGATGGGGACTCGGATGTGTGCATTAACACCAGGTCAACACAGCTGTCTGGGCCAAAGGAATAAGGAATTCCTTATGGTATCCGTGTGCAATTGTCCAGAAAACGTACAGAGGGTGAAGATTCACCCAATAAGCTCTACACTCTGGTGACCTATGTGTCTGTTACCACTTTAAAATATCTACCAACGGTCAACATGGGTGAGAACTGCTGATTTTCAAATAAAGTTATAAAACCAAAATAAAGAGAGAGGATTGCAGCCTGACCATTCCCCATCAGGAGGTGTGAGCTCTCTTACTTTGCAAGCATGCAAACCCTCTGGCAATTTAAAAAAAAAATTAAAAATTACATTTGAATTATATGAAAGTAGCTACGAAATACCCAAGTACTTTCTAAACCAACATCATATGTTGATTAAATTCCTTTTAATGGCAAACATGCTCAAAAAAATTCCTGAGAGACTAAATTTTTCCATTAAAACACAAATTAGGGACTACATTCTAATATACTTAAAATACTTACCAAGGCTAAAACCTCCCTGAATAGAGAACTTCCTCACATATCTGCATTTACGAATATTGCTTCCCAGAAGCACGAACCTGCTTCTATATAAATGCCTTTGTAATATACAAAGACTGAGTCACTGAATGTGCTCCTATTTAGTCATTTGCTCATCTGCCTGTTGATTCTGCTAACACTTAATTGGTATGTTATGAGCCGGGCCTTCTGGAGGATGTAAACTGTGCAGAAAGATGTCACTCCTGCTCTGTGGAGGCTCCAGCCTGGCAGGGCCACGTGATGGAAACACGACTAGCAGTCCACAAAGAAAGCTGCACTGGACTGAGATGGACACCCACAGTGCAGTGCTAAGGGCAGGGGGAGGGCATACTTCGTTTAGGGAAGGGTCACGTAAAGAGAAGGCTGACAGAACCCTTAAGAAAAACACCTTTAAGGGATGATGGAAAGAAGAGCCAACACGTAAAGAAAATAAAATGGAAGCTAAGAGGCCAAAGAACAAGAATGAGTGGCAAACAAGAAGCCTTGAAAGGGAAAAGTTTCTATTAATTTATGAAGAAGTGGTAAAAGGCATCAACTGCTACACTACAAGGGGGAAACCGCATGCTTTTTGAGATCTCTCTGCTAGAGGCCAGCAGATGGCGTAGTGGTTAAGGTACTGGACTCCCACGTGGTTGACTGCAGTATAAGTTGTGGACTTGGCAACTTGAAACTCATGCCACGTGTGTGTGCCCATGATCCCAAGAGGAGAATGGTGGATCAGGAATGGCAGCAGGACCATCAGGTGATTTCTCGCTGTCTCTCTGGCGAGTGCACACACCATACAGCAAAAATATCTCTCTCTCAAAAAAAGATCTTTCTGCTAAAAAGCCCGCTGTGATTCTCTAAGAATATAAAAATCCATAAGGGCACAAACTACCCTTTCTATAAAAGGCAAATGTTTCCTATTTCACATTTTTTCCCTCAAGTTTAATACTGAAGAAAAAGCCCTAGAAGACTAATTCAGAAATGAGAGTTCAGTTTTTATATTAACTGATGGTGTGCATGATGGTTGAGTTAGCTAAGGTTGTTAACTGCCCTAAGGAAGTGCTCTCCTGGATAATACAACCGAAGGCCAGGATTTCCTAACCAAGAGTTGAAACTTACGATGTTCTATGACTACTGCCAGGTGAAAGATGCAATGCACAAGAATCTCTAGGGTATTCTACCCCTCACAGAAGAAAAGAAGGGGATTTAAGAAGATACACATGTGTAGAAGAAACACAGGAAAGACCAATCAGAAACTAACAGGATAGGTTACTAAGAGGGAGTGGGTAGAAAAAGTCTAGAAAGAATGGGGAATGAGAATGGGATAGCAGAGATGAAGGAGCAATGCATGCATATATACACAGACCCCTCCATACACACACAGACCCCCCCATACACACACACCCACACCCACAGACCCCCCCCATACACACACACCCAAAGACCCCCCTCATACACACACACACACACACACACCCATACACACACCCCCCACAGACCCCCCATACACACACACACACACACACAGACCCCCCATACACACAAACACAGACCCCCCATACACACACACCCACACACATAGACCCCCTCATACACACATACACCCACACATACCTTATGCACACAGACCTCCCGTACACCCCCCCACACACACATACACACACACCATACACACAGACCCCCCCCATACACACATACACACACTCCATACACACAGACCCCCCCCATACACACCTCATGTACACAGACCCCCCCAGACACACACACAGACACACACACGCACACGTATCTTATGTTTGCTCAGAATCATAACACACATACATACTCTTCACATATAAAGTATTAAATATAATATTAAGACATAAAGTATTAAGATCAACCAGGATTTAGAAGGCATCTAAACACTAATGAAGAACCTGTTTTTAAGTGAATAACACTGTACTGAAGAGAGTGGAAAACTAACTAATGGGTTGTCAGAGAAGTCATGATGTGTTTCTCTATGCAGAAATGAGTCTTAACTTTTCTAAGTCTTAACTAAGTCTTTCGTAAGTTAAGACTTAGTCATTTGGTCAAATGTCTTGAGTTGGGTTTGTCTGGTGATTGGATGGAAGTTCTACATTCTGACGAGACTAGGACGTGTTCATGGCATTGATATATCTTCATGTTCATGGAGTTGGCATATCTTATTACTGGTGATTTCTGCCATAATCACTGGTTATGGTGGTTTCTTCCTGGTTTCTCTATTTTAAAATATTATCTTTGTGTGTGTGTGGGGGGAGGGGTTAGTATTTTAGAGAAGATACCTTAAAACTATATAAATATTCTATCTCATTTTAAACTTTTGCTCACTTATTTTACCATCCATTGCTACTTTTTTTTTTTTTTTTTTTGAGAGATTTTCACTGTAGGGCGCGTGCGCTCGCCAGACAGACAGAGAGAGACATAGAGACAGAAAGCGAGAAATCACCCCCCAGGGGGGATGGTCACGCCGCAATCCCTTCTCCTCCATTCTCCTCTCGGGATCTTGGGCACGCATGCACACGCGCCCGGCGTGAGTTTTAAGCCACCGGGTCCGGGACACGAACCGCGGTCGACTACGTGGGAGTCCAGCGACATAGCCATTACGCTAACTGCTGGTTCCCCATTGCTACTTTTTGCAGTACCTGGAAAAGAGTATCTGGCTGGATATGGAAGACCAGAGATATGAACACAAACCCGACAGCAAGTTTCTCATAGAAACATGGCTTAGTAATTTGAAACCACTTTATGTGCACCTCTGTGCATACTGAAACGGAACAAATAAGCAAATACATTACACAGTGAGTCTCCGTGAGAGAGAATTTTCAAATGGAAAGAAGTTTAAAAAGTCAATTCTGTAGTATTCAGGCTAGTCTAGTCCAGGTTCAACTGAAATCCAAAGTATCTACGTAATTTCATTTTTTAAAACCACAAAGTAGACTGATAGACACAGAAAAATAGATTTTTTAAAAATATTACATGACCTAGTCTATGTCTAAAAGAATTTCATTCATTTGGGTAAGCCAAACAATCCATCTACCATCATAAATATTTATTTCAATCATAAGATCACAATTGGAAGTTTTTCAAAAAATGCCAAAGAAAAAACTTTAAAAAATACAAGTCTGCAGTTACAAATGAGATGCCTTCAATCTCTACATATCCAGGATTTGATCTAATCCTGCTTAATTTTCTAGTTCTAAAGAACACACCTTGAACTTCTTGTCTGTCAAGGAGCGTTTTGGCGGGGGCAGTGCTCTTAGGTATTAGCTTACTGAAATGCGATTATTTTGGGTTGTGCTCTCTGCTCCAGGCATTGAAAGTTGTTATCTACATAAGTGAAATCATCCTCACAAGTTTATCATTCAACATTCCAAGGACACAATAACTCCTCTCTGCTCCAATTCTTTGTCCAATCTCTTGTAGGATTCAAGGAGCGGAATGAAAAAGAAGTAGTAATGCATGTTTTTTTCAAAATGGTTTCATTCCAGCAAAAAGCTTATCTTGCATCAAGTCTGCTGACAGTAGTCGCACAATGCTACATATGCTTGTTCTCTTAGTATTTTTCCATATTCTTTTTATAGTTGACAAATTTGAGAACAGACTAGCTCTGCCACATAACTATGACAAATCTCTCATTTTTTAAGAGATGCTAAAATATTCTTCTTTTCCAGTTTGGAACAATTTAGAATTGTAGACATTTGCAGTTTCTAACTATTAGAAGCCCCTGTGTTTAAATTCCGCTGTTTATTATAGGACTCTAGGACAAGATTCCTACTCTCATGTAAGAACCTGACAACGCGGTTCCTGCACACCTGCAGAAGTCCCACGTTTAGGACAGAGGGAGCACAGGACACTCGAATACTGCTTTCACACACTTACTTCATTTCATTTACGTGTCTCAGAAGCTCATGCTGAGTTTTCACAACTGTATCCACTTCTTGTTGCATGACCTGAAGGAAAAACAGACAAGTCGGCTTGACAATCTCCAGTCCGTTATACAAGGGGACACACAGTGTGGTAGCCGTTCTTTTCTACTTTCCCACCATAAAACTTAAATGAGGCCCAACTGCCAATTTTGAAAGCTCACCTGCCCAGGCTGCCCTGTGATTCCTGCTCCTCTTTTAGAGATCTCCTCTGTCAAGGAAGAGACATATCTTCTCTGTTCATCAAGAATCATATCTAACTGTCGGTTCAGCTGCTTGATTTCAAGATGAATACGATTCTGTCCTTCAAAGATTTGTCTTAGCTCACGATCTCCTACGCTCTCAAATATTTCTTCCGCTGAAAAGGACATTACAAATTAAAACTGTTGGAATCACAAAGACATCTGTAGGTTTCATGACCAAAGTGCTTAACGTATAACAAAATTAGAACACTACCATCACAACTGCATAATCTTTTCATATAGTAAATATGCACGCAATTAAGTCAATCACGATTATTTTATTTTTTTTGAACATCTTTGGTGGTTGAACACTTAGGACTAAATTTTTTCATTTAAAAAAATGTTTTTCTCTTTCACATACCCTCTGTGATTCTATTTATTTATTTTTGGGAGAGGTTTTTGCTACAGGGCACGTGCGCTTGCCAGAAAGACAGAGAGAGACAGAGAGAAAGTGAGAAATCATCCCCCAGTGGGGATGGTCACACCGCAATCCCTTCTCCTCCATTCTCCTCTCAGGATCTTGGGCACGCACGCACAGGCGCCCAGCATGAGTTTAAGCCACCGGGTCCGGGACTCGAACCGCAGTCGACTACATGGGAGTCCAGTGACATAGCCATTACGCTAACTGCTGGTCCCTCTGGGATTCTATTTAGATGACATGGCAGAACTAAAATGAAAACTCATTATGCACAGCCTTGATCAGTTACACTGACAGGGAACCACCAGAAATAAAAGCTAGCGATAATATAAAGTCACTCTTGGTCTTCCCATGCTTTCTTTTTTGCATTAGCAAAATTAGCGTCTTACTTACAATGACCTAGACTAGTATTTCAAAATTTTCAGTCTTTAAAGCCAGGATTCTGTTGAGTAGTGAGGGGATGAGGTAGACATCACTTCACATTACAATAGTTACAAAGCGCAAACTACCTCATGCTAATCTTGATGGCATCCAAGGATCATCTCTATGCTAATGAGGAGCTGTATGCCACTAAAAGGAAAGATACAGTTTTTGGATGATTTCATTCAAAATACTTACTGAGCCTTTACTACTAGGTCAGCACTGTTGGTCTTTTTTTTTGAGGATTGGGAGACATGGCAAACAAAATTCCTTTCCTCATGGAGCTCCCCCTCCTGGCTTCACTGTTCACCTCCATAATCCTGGCATTCTTTACTTCACTAGGCCACACCCTCACTGGTAAAAACACCCATCTCCAGACCCCCACTGGGTGCCCAGACACAGCCAGGACAGCTACTGACAGCTACTGCAGCACTTCACTGCAACTCACCAGGCTGCCCTTGAAGGTCAGGGTGGCCCTTCTGGAATTCCTCCTTTTTTTTATCCAATTCTTGTTGAAAGTGCTCAAATTCCTCTTGATACTTTTCTTTTTCTTTTTCTGAAATTTCTTTATCTGGTGTAGGCTTTTTAGGAGTTAAACAATAGGTAATAAAAGGATTAAAAAATCAGTAAGATACTTCAATATAAGTTCAGACAAATATATCATTACTTTTCTGACGACCTATTATTTACCACTAGCTAAAAGGCTGACATAAAAATATTACTCCTTATTTAAATGAGAGCAAATTTACTCTTGTTCCTAATAAAAACAACAAAAATAACAATAACCAATCTATTCACTGAGCACTTCTCTAAGTGCACTGTCCATTTAATCCAGAATACCATGAGGTGGCCGGTATAAGTACTACTTCAGCAGTGAGGAAAGGGAGCGGTGCCACGGCTCAGAAGTTCACATAAAATGTGGATCGTGGGAGAACTATGCACGGATTTCACACAGCAGTGACTGGCAGGAGCAAGGTTCAAACTCAAGTCTGTCTTCCCAGAGATTCAGCCACAAGGCAAAACCACTAACTGATAAACACTGAAAAAAATAATGTGTATACTTACTGGTTCTTTTCCAGGCTCAGTCAATTGGAAAGTCAGAAAAGAAAGGACATCATGGTCATCTACAAATTAAAAAAGAAGACATGTCGAAAAAGTTCTATAATAATTTTTCATTTTAATTTGCTTGATGGCATGCATGCTCACTGGAGACAGAGAGAGAGAGAGAAGTAAGAAACATCTCCTCTCCCCTCCCAAGGGGAATGGTCATGCCACAGTCCCTTTTCCTTCATTCCCCTCTAATCTCAGGATTTTGGCCATGCGTGCATATGTGCTGGTGTGTTTCCCAAGCCACCAGACTCAGGATTTGAACCAAGTGGTCAGCCATTTGAACTATGGGATTCAGCCACCTTAACTATCATGCTGCCAGCTGGCCTGTAATTATTTTTATAGTTGTAGATTTACTTTATAAATACAAGAGATCTTCAAAAGTTCAAGTTTTAAAATATGTACTATGAGAGAACTATGCATGGATTTCATTTTTTTTGCATTAAAACTTGTACTTTATTTTTAAAAAGAATTATTTTATTTATTATTCTTTTTTAAAAATTTGCTACTGGGCACGTGAGCTCATTAGACACACACAGAAAGAAAGAAAGAAAGAAAGAAAGAAAAAGAAAGAAAGAAAGAAAGAAAGAAAGAAAGAAAGAAAGAAAGAAAGAAAGAAAGGAACAGAGAGAGAGAGAAAAGAGAAAGAGAAAACAAGCCACCGAGTCTGGGACTCAGACTGCTGTTGGCCATGTGGGAGTCCAGCACCTTAACCACACCACCTGCTGGCCCCTAAACTTGTATTTTAATTCCATTTTCCATGAATGTTTTGAAGCTCTCTCATATTTATTGCTTTAAAAAACAATAATCAATAAGGGATGCTAACAGGGGCCAGTTGGTAGTGTGGTGGTTAAGGTGTTGGATTCCACACAGCTGGGTGATCACAGTTCAAGCCCCAGACTCAGCGGCTTAAAATTTATGCCAGTCACATGTGTGTGTGTATGCCCAAAATCCTACGAGGAGAATGGAGGAGAAGGGACTGCGTGTGGCCACCCTCCTCCCTCTCTTTCTGTCTTTGGTGAAGGAATGCGCTCTAATGGCAACCCCCCCACCAAAAAAAAAAAAAGTTCAGTGCCTAAGTAATATTTCTTCAGGTTGGCCAATTCATTTAAATGACATGGGGCAACTCTCAAAATCCTGAAATAAAAAATGAAATAAAATAAAATCCTAAAAAACTTGGCAATTACCCTTGTAAAGCCTTGATTTTAAATATGCCTCCTTCATTATAAAACAGAACCTAAACTGATGCTCTAATTTGCATACTCATAAGTTGTCCCAGACAACTGTACACCTACAGAATGATTTAAGTAGAGAATCAGCAGTCTTAATAGACAGAAAGACTGCCACAGTGGACCATGGAAAGGTTCTAATCAGTCTTAAAAGGTCGAAAGTCAGTCAGTCTACATAACCCTAAAATAAACCATGCCCAACAAAACTCAACTTATAAATCATTAACATTAAAAAATAGCAAGGTTTACCTGCAAGACCCCCTGTTGCAGCAGATATCCCAAAGTGCCCTTGGGCAGGAATAACCATATTTTCCACTTTTGCACAAAATTCATAATCATTTTTATCTGGTGTGAAGCCATTATTTATCATTACCTAGAAAGACATACTGTGGTTACAACTTTTACAACAGGTATCATAAAATGCATTTCACTTAGCCAACTTTATGACTAAAACAATTCAATCTTTTTAATTCACTATTCAATCTTGATTGTTTTCATGATTACAAACAGTAATTTTACACAACCTTACTCGATATCATTGTACAATAATATATTCCATTTAAATATTTCTTTTTGTGGCGCAGCAGGTGGTGAAGTGGTTAAGGCACTGGTCTCCTACATGGCCTATCGTGGTTCAAGTGCTGGACCTAGAGACTTGAAAATCACATGGGGCTTGTGTGCGTGTATGCCCAAAGTCCCAAAAGGAGAATGGAGGAGAAGGGATTGAAGCTGGTCATCCCTGTGGGGGATGATTTCTCACTTTCCCTCTACTGTCTCTCCAGCAAACACAAGTGCACTACAGCAAAAATAAAAACAAAAAAAGTTCCCTTTTGTCTCCCTCTGTGTCAAACAAAGGCTTAAAGGGATATTTAATGACTTTTCATGAAAAGTCTTGCTAAAATAGAATATGTTTCATCTTCTCTTGAGATGACCTACAAAGAACCATGACTAATTCTTGAGGGGTTCATACAGGAGAGGAACGCAACCAGCCTTCTTGTGAAACTCCAATCAGAGTTAAAATCAATAGAATAAATTGATAATTTTAACTATAGTTGGTAGAATTAAATAGGTTGCCTCAAAAAACAGTGAACTCCTCTTTATTAGTGTTATAACAGAAAACACCAACAAAAAAAGGCAAAAGCTGGTAAAACTAAAAAGGCATGTAAGCTTCCACTATGCAGGACCAGCAGATGGTCTGGTGGTTAAGGAACTGGACTCCCACATGGGCGACCACTATTTGAGTCCTGGACCTGGTGGCTTGCTTTCTCACTGTGTGTGTGTGTGTGTGTGTGTGTGTGTGTGTCTGGTCAAATTAAAATAAATGATGAAAAAATAAAATTAAATAAAATAATTTCTAAAAAAGTTTCTACTCTACGGGACCAGCAGTTAGCGTAATGGCTATGTCACTGGACTCCCATGTGGTCGACTGTGGTTCGAGTCCTGGACCCGGCGGCTTAAACTCACGCCGGGTGCGTGTGTGTACATGCCCAAGATCCTGAGAGGAGAATGAAGGAGAAGGGATTGCGGCGTGGCCATCCCCCCCCGGGGGGGGGGTGATTTCTCGCTTTCTGTCTGTCTCTCTGTCTTTCTGGCGAGCAGATGCGCCCTGTAGCAAAAAAACCTCTCAAAAAAAAAAAAAAGTTTCTACTCTACAGAATATATATTTGAGGTAATGACCCTAAATTTCTCAATAGAATCTTGGACTTCTATGAAAGCAGAGGGATCCGCCTGACACATGAGCACTGTTCTCCTTATCCCAGACAAGCGGTGATTTAGTTTCTTGAATGCTTTTTACTTCTAACGATCTAACCAGAGCCCCACCTAAAGCAGTGTCACTGTGGACACTAAAGGAGTGGGCGCATGGCACCAAGGTAAAGGCACTTTTATCACAGCCGCTTCCAGAGTGAGTTTTGTCAGGGACAATTAAGTCACAATTTTCAGCAAAAGCATAAAACACCTGTCAATATGAAGAGTTAATCACTATGTAATGTAGGTTAGAAGTGTGAACAAAAAAAAAACTTTAAAAATCACCTGTCATTTAGTCAATATTTTTTTCCTCTCGTTAATACAGGGTGAGTACCCCTTACCAGAAATGTTTGGGACCAGAAGTGTTTCAAATTTTGACATTTTTTTGATTTTTTAGAATATCTGTATATACATTACGAGATATCTTGGGGGTAGGATCCAAGTTTAAACATGAAATTCATTTGTTTCATACACACCTACACAGAAACTCAAGTTAATTTTACACAATATTTTTACACTGAAACATTTTTATCGCAATCCATTACACGAGGTCAGGTGTGGGGTTTCCCCCGGTGGTGTAATGCTGTAAACTCAGAACGTTTCAGATTTGAGGCTAATTTTTTTTTTTTTTTTTGGAGAGGCCTTCGCCATAGG